AACCCCCCTCCCCCACCAGAGCAGGGACAGCGCGGGCGATCGCCAGACAGGCGCGTATCCAATGCCTACACGCCCCTCAATGACTCCGTGAGAAACGTGTTCCACGTCCTCCGCGAGAAAGGATACAAGCTTAACTGGCCTGCCCCGCTGAAGTCTCAACCCTACATGCGCGACCCGAGCAGGCATTGTGAATTCCACAGAGCAACGGGGCATAAGACAGAAGAATGCCGAGAGTTACGGTACGAAATAGAGGGCCTCGTACGACGAGGGTTGCTAACTGAGTTCACCCACGTGAAAAAGGAGCAAGTCGAAGCGCCGCAACAACCACCCCCACCCCCACAAGCCGATTACGACGATGACACTGGCGCGTATGTAGTGCGCAAAGAAATCGGGGTGGTAACGGTCGAAGGAGATCGTCCCAAGAAGAAAACCAAGCGTGAGCGCGCAACGGAATGCGCGGCTGTCGACGCACCGCCAAAGTTCAATCTGAGCTTCGGCGACGCGGAGTTCCCACAAGGAATCCCGTCGGAGGAGCCACTCATCGTCACCGCGCTGATTGCCGCCTGCAAGACCCACCGTCTCCTGATAGACGGGGGTAGTGCGGCCGACATCCTCTTCCAGAGTACCATCAACAAAATGGATATCGATCCGCGCCTAATCAGGCGCGCACACGGCAACTTAGTTGGTTTCTCCGGAACCAGAGTCCCGGTAATTGGAGTGGTCACCCTCCCAGTGGTTATTGGGGACCAGGAGCCCCGCGTCTCCAAGCAGATAGAGTTCACAATCGTCGATTGCGAATCGGCGCACAATGGCATCTTGGGCCGACCTTTCCTCGCGAAGTTCATGGCCCTCCCATCGACGTGTCACCAGAAGCTCAAGTTTCCAACACAGGGAGGAGTCGGGGAGGCGCGAGGAACGACTTGGGAAGACCGCGTTGTGGCACGCCAAACCAACATCGTCGACACAAGAGCAGAAGAGCCCCGCCCGGAATCCATGGATTCCGATTTCGAGGTCGCGCTAGACCCTGCCGAGCCGACCAGGAAGATACGCATCTCCACTCACGTCAGCAGCGACGCAATCGAACCACTCATAGCGCTGCTGAAGGAGTACAAGGAGCTCTTCGCGTGGTGCACAGAGGACATGCCAGGAGTGCCCAGGGAGGTAGCGCAGCATAGCCTCGCGGTCCCAGCCGACGCCGAACCAAGGCAACAAGGGCGGAGAACGTTCACCGGGGACAAGCTGAAGGCGATAGAAGAGGAGGTTGCGCGCCTGCTAGCAGCCGGATTGATCCGCCCCGTGAAGTACCCGAAGTGGCTGGCGAACGTGGTCCTGGTCAAAAAATCGTCAGGAGCCTGGCGGATGTGCGTTGACTACACCACAATCAACAAAGTATGCCCGGGAGACCCTTACCCCCTGCCGCGCATCGACCAGCTGATCGACGCGACCGCCGACCACGAGACGTTGTCCTTCCTCGACATGTTCTCAGGATATCACCAAATCCAAATGTCCAAGGAAGATGAAGAAAAAACGGCTTTCATGACACCTTTCGGGAACTTCTGCTTCGTAGGTATGCCGTTCGGGTTGAAAAACGCGGGCGCGACATACCAACGAATGATCGACGCAGTTTTCTCGCAGCAAATCGGGCGGAACATCGAGGCGTATGTGGACGACCTCATCGTCAAAACCAAGGCGGGTAAGTCACACCTGGAGGACCTGCGCGAGACCTTCGAAGCCCTCCGCAAGCACAGCCTTCGCCTCAATCCACTCAAGTGCGTCTTTGGAGCAGAGGCGGGGAAATTTCTGGGGTTCATGATAACCAAGCGCGGCATAGAGGTCGATCCGAAGCAAATCACCGCGGTCCAACAACTACGAGCGCCGCGGAACGCATTGGAAATCCAATCTCTGAACGGCAAGATAGCGGCACTGGGGAGGTTCATACCAAGGTCCGCTGACAAATGCGCGCCCTTCTTCCAGACACTCAAGAACGGGACGCGCTTCGCATGGTCCACGGAATGCGAAGCGGCCTTCCAGGAATTAAAGGCGTATCTTGTATCCCCCCCTGTACTGACCGCTCCCAAGCTTAATGAAAAACTTTTCTTGTATCTCGCCGTGTCAACAAGAGCCGTGAGCGCGGTTCTGATATCTAGGAGGGATGGCAGGACTGAGCAACCAGTGTATTACACCTCGCGCACTCTCGTTAGCGCGGAAACAAGATATTCCTCGATCGAGAAAGCTGCCCTGGCGTTAGTGAGCGCTTCGCAGAAACTGCGCCCGTACTTTCAAGCGCACCAGGTCACCGTCCTGACCAACCTGCCACTAAAAAAGATTCTGACTTCAATGGAAGTGTCGGGGCGCATGGTCAAATGGGCGGTGGAGCTCTCGGAGTACGATATTCAATACGCGCCGAGGCCAGCAATCAAGGCCCAAATCTTAGCGGACTTCATCGCGGAAGGGGTGACCCTCGAAACAACGCCGGAGGGCGTTTGGGAAGTCTATGTCGATGGAGCGGCAAGTAAGCATGGCGCCGGAGCAGGGGTTGTGGTGCGCACACCTGCCGGCGTAATGCACGAAATCGCAATCAGGTTCAGGGCGTTGAAGACAAACAACGCCGCGGAATACGAGGCCATCTTGGCAGGAATGACGGCCGCTCACGACCTCGGGGCAAGAACGGTGCGTATACTTTCCGACTCCTCCCTGGCGGTCAACCAACTGAATGGTGCGTTCGACGCAAAGGAAGACACACTGGCGCATTACATGGAGCGCGTTAAGCAGAGGGCCACAACATTCGAATCAGTAACGTATGCACAGATACCAAGGGAGGAAAATGCGCATGCCGACGCGCTATCCAAGCTAGCAACGGCTACAGACTTCGAATCGACGCGCCTCGTGTCCGTCCAAAAAGAAGAAGATGAAACCACCCCGGGGGTAGCAGTCAACACGACCCAGCTCGTGCCATACGAAGATTGGAGACATCCAATTATGAAGTACCTCCAAGAGGGGGTGGTGCCAGAAGACCCCAAGCAAGCTTGGGCTCTAAGGCAAAAGGCAGCTCGTTGCACGCTTATCGAGGGAGAATTATACCGAAGGTCGTACTCGGGTGTATACCTCAAATGCATTGGGCAGGAGGAGGCGCACGACCTAGTGCGTGAACTACACGAGGGGCTGTGCGCAATGCACGCGGGGCCGCGCAGCATGGAGCGTACCATCCTTTTGCATGGATACTACTGGCCGCGAGTCAAGAAAGATACGAAGAGCTATACAGACCAGTGCCATAAATGCCAAGTCAACGCGCGCCAACACCATTTGCCGGCCACCGAGCTCCAGGGCAACTTAAGCCCATGGCCTTTCGCGCAATGGGGAGTTGATCTCTTGGGCCCCTTCCCAACGGCAAAGGGGAAGCGCAAATACATAATCGTGGCGGTCGACTACTTCACTAAGTGGATCGAGGCCGAGGCGCTGGCGTCCATAACGGCGCAGCAGGTAACACGTTTCTTGCGCAACAACATTTTGTCGCGCTTCGGGGTTCCGAATGCACTCATCTTCGACCACGGGAAGCAATTCGATTGCGCAGAAGTAATGGACTTCTGCGACGAGGTGGGAATCATTGCAAGATTCGCGTCGGTCGCTTACCCTCAAGCCAACGGCCAAGCGGAGTCCTCCAATAAAGCGATCTTGCATGGCCTCCACACTCGCCTGAATGAAGCCAAGGGCAATTGGGCGGACGAACTCCACACAGTGCTATGGGCGCACCGCACCACGTACAAAGTGGCAACGGGCGAAACCCCCTTCGCTCTGACGTACGGCACTGACGCGGTGATTCCCATCGAGACAACGACGCCGACCTACCGAATCACCGGGTACAACGAAGAAGCAAACGACGAGGCGCGCCTACTAGAGCTCGAGTTGTCGCAGGAAAGGCGTGAGTTGGCAGCCATCAGGCTAGCCGCCATGAAAGAACAGGTAGCCAAGTACCATAACGCGAAGCTGGTCCCGCACAAGTTGATCCTTGGCGACCAAGTGCTGCGGCGGAACTTCCGCCCTGACCCCAGGCACGGGAAGCTTGCCTCGACATGGGAAGGCCCTTACTTGATCCGCGAAGTGGTAGGCGCCAACACATTCAAACTCAGCGAGCTGGGGGGCAACAAGGTTCCAAGAACATGGAATGCGCAGAATCTAAGGAAATACCACCGCGCCGGTTAACGTGTACCACGTTTGTAATAGCGCGTTAGCGCAATAAATAAAAGGACATGGTTCCACGGAACAAAACTTAGCAATAGTCCAGCACTATTCGCGCCCAATCAGTTCGAAAGAACAAAAAATTAGTATGAGTCCAGCACTCTGCGCTCAGTTCCACGGAACAAAACTTAGCAATAGTCCAGCACTATTCGCGCCCAATCAGTTCGAAAGAACAAAAAATTAGTATGAGTCCAGCACTCTGCGCTCAGTTCCACGGAACAAAACTTAGCAATAGTCCAGCACTATTCGCGCCCAATCAGTTCGAAAGAACAAAAAATTAGTATGAGTCCAGCACTCTGCGCTCAGTTCCACGGAACAAAACTTAGCAATAGTCCAGCACTATTCGCGCAAAAGGACACGGTTCGAAAGAACAAAATATTAGCAATAGTCTAGCACTATTCGCGCCTAAGTTCGAAAGAACAAAGATGAGCACCCAGCTCGCACATCCTCCGCGCGAGGGGACAAGGCAAAAGCAGTGGTTGTCGCTCATTCGCGCACACAAAGTTATTACTCATTCGCGCACACAAACATAGTCGAAAATCTTTTGTTCTATTCAAAGAGGGAGCCATGATGCCGTGCGCGGCTACACACAAGAAAAAAAAAAAAAAAAGAAGAGTACAAGAAAACAACAAAACAGCTAAGGCTCAATTGGGCCACATCTAAGCAGAACCAGTATCGGGCTGTCCGCCCTCCCTGCTCAACTTGCGGCGCAATAGAGGACGCTCTTCTTCCTCGTCCTCCTCATCTTCGTCGGCCACCTCTCCATCCTTCCTCTCCTCCCCTGTCGGACGCTCAACCTCCTCCCGGCGCTCCACTTCTTCCTCCTCCTCTTCCTCGGACTCGGAGTCAGAATCCAAAGGACGCTTCTCGCTGATCCACACTTTGACGTGCTGAACCATCTCGCGAGTGTCCCAGCGCATCCCCGGATTCTCAGGGCGGATCTTCTTACCAACCGCTATCACGGCCTTGGTCATGGCATCCGCCATGATCTTCCCGAAAGGTTGGGAAGACTTGAACTGGCGGACGGCCGCGACTTCAGCTGCGCGAACGGCCTCCGCCTTAGCAACGGTGTGAAGGCGAACAAGGTCGTCCTTCTCCTTCTGGAACTCCTCGCGAGCTTTGCGCAATCTCTCAGAAAAGGAGACTTCCAGTTCTTCTCGGAGAGCAGTGCGCTCCTCGTTCCGCACCTGCTCTTTGGCCGCCTCAACGTCCGCGGCCAATCGGCTCTGCAAAAGGCCGAGTGACTCCAGTGCCTCGTTGGCCTTAGAGGTAGCGTCCTCCGCGCGATTGTTCGCCCCGAGGACCTTCCCCTCCAGCTGCACGATTTGCGCCTCGTCGGCCTTCATCTTGGCGCGCATCGAGGCGCGCTCTTGCTGAGCGCGAAAGGTCGCCGACAAACCCTGCAACGCCACGAGTCTTAGCCAAGCAAAAAAGAAGGGGGGAGGCTAAGAAAATAAACCTTAACCTAAACCGAGTCTTACCGCGAAATGGATCTGCGCCAGATCGTGAAGAGGGTCCGTCTTCTCCACCCGCGGGGGAACGGAGAGAATGGGCCCGATCGCCCGAAGCGCATGATTGGCTGACACCAAGTTGCACGCCGCGGCGGTGTGAATCCGCACGTCGCGGACTTGGTGGACGGTGGCGGAAGGAGGTACAACGGTGACGGGAGGAGTGGTAGCGGATGTCCCGGATGAGCTGCCAGCCCCATCCCCCCCTCGACGAGCGGGCCGGCTCACCGTCGCCTCGGGCTCCGAAAGCGCCAGTGTGAGCTGCTGCGCGGCGGACAATTGTGGCGTCGCGGGCAGTTGCTTTGCCGCTTGGACGGTTGGCTCCGCTATGCGAAGGGTCTTGCGGGGCTTCTCTACAACCTGCGGTTGCGGTTGCTCGACCTCCTTCCGCTTCGAGGGTTTTGGCGCCGCGCCGACCTTCTTCTTCCTTTTCTTGTCGGCACGCGGCGCGACGTCATCCACTGACATCATACTCGCGAGGGAAGAGAAGTCAACACCTGCGCCAATAAATCGTAAGAGAGCGGTTAATAAGATAGAATACAAAAAGGAAGGAAACATAACTAACCATCTCCAAAGAGCTCTTCCAAACAGGCTTCGCGGACTCCCCGCTTGTATAAATTCATGCGGTGAGGCATGCAAGCCTCATACTCATCGTTGAGCCCGTCGTATTTACCGACGTCGGACTCGAAACCGGCTATACTGCCCTTCATCCAGGTGGTGGGCTCCGGCAGCGACCCACTCGCCCATTCCCCGGGAGCGGGCTTAACATAGAAAAACTGACCAAACCAAGTCTTCTTCAACTTGGGCGAGCCGTACACGAAGCCATCGGGGCGGTGGTCGCGTCGCTGGATGGAGAGACAGTCGCTCACCTTTGTCGGCTCCTTGATTTTGTACATCTTGCGGAATAAGCCGTAAGTAGGCACGATGTTAAGCCTCTTGCACGCGAGACGAAGGCAACTCGCGTGCATGATCACTGACGGGGAGAGCCGACCGATGGAGCATTTGAGGCGGTCGTATATGGCGCATAACAGCGGGTCGATGGGGAACTTGAACCCCATAACCCAGTATTCGGCATACACACCGAACCACCCAGGGGGGCAGTTACCCACCATACTGCGCACCGAGGGAGCGGCGTACTCCCAACTGGGGGGCAAACCCAGTCCGCGAACCAAATCCTCCACGTCATCCACGTCATACGTCGAGGAGTGCTCGGGTCCGCGCTTGAGATTGTCAGACGGCGCCGGCTGGTCACCCCACATCTCCGCCCATTCGATCACGCGGTATGTAGAGCCAACACCCTGCGGCCCCAAGCGGGCCATGGCTTCGGTAACGCGCTCGACTGCTCGCGGCGCGAATTGCACATCAAAGTCTCCTTGCTCTGTCTCATCGCCGAAGTCTTCATCGTCGGCGACTTCATCGTCGCCGACCTCACCATCGGCGACTTCCTCGTCGGCGATTTCCTCGTCGGCCGCTTCGTCGCCGGCAACCGGCCCACCACCCTGGTTACGCCGAATAATCAGAGTCCCCCGAGCCGGCCGCGCCACCTCCCCACTACCGGAAGCGGTTATACCCTGATCAGAAGAGCTTCCGGCCCCATCGCCCGACCTAGCATCGAACGTCGGCGTCGCCGGAAATCCACCACCACTACTGCCACCCCCACCGTCGGATCCACCGTTCCAGTCCCCAGAACCTCCATTCCCACCACCGGAATGGTCAGAAGAAGTATGCGAGAGAGGAGAGACATTACCTTCTTCGCCTTGTACGACCTCGGCCTCCTGGTTGTTGATGTTGGACATGATATCGACTCGAAATCGATCAACAGCAGAAGAGGATTGGGGTAGTAAAAGGAGGAGAGAAAATCTCGAGGAAAGAGAAGTGAAGGAGGAGGGAAATCTTAGGAAAACAAAAGCGAGGCTATGATCGGAGAAAACAAGTGAGCCCTCCTCCCTTCAACAATCTCATATTTATAATTGATCCGGGGGAAAGCGAAGGGCCAAGGCCGTTCGGCGGAATGCGAAAGGTTAAAGCCACATTGGGATCCGTAACAGTCAGATCCCACCAAATCTTTTCGAAATTCAAAAAACCCCCGCCCAAATAGCCTAACCACACAGTGACACGTTGACACCTACGATCATAGGCATTAGTCGGCGACGCCACCAGCGCCGCGCACCGACTGGGGGGCATGGCACACCCGCGAGGAAAAGAAAGACACGCATTGCGTCGCAACAAGAAGACAACCCCATGCGCGCATCGACGGGCATTGCGCGCGAGTATCACGCTCAACGAACAAAGATCAACCGCGAGCGCTTATCGCGAGGATAACGCCTGGAAGAGGAAAACATGCGTCGTGCTGCGAAAAGAAAACAACTCCACGAGCGCATCGCGCGGGTATTGCGCTCAGCGAACAAAGACCAACAACGAGCGCATTAGCGCGTACCGCGCACGAAGAAAACGACCCCGTACGCACAACAGCGCGCGCCAAGCATTGCGCGTGGCGACCGAATGAAGCCCAACAACGAGCGCGATGGCACATGGCGTCAGGGCAAGGCGACGCCAGTTCATAGTATCGCGCACGTCGGCGCCAACCAATAGCTACAAGCCCGAGTCCGGAGGAAACCTAAACAGGGGGCGTTCACAAAACACCCCCTGCTGGGGGGCAATTGTTGGGCATAGGACTCGGGCCTAACCACGCCAAGGAGCCGGGCGCAACTGGATGAGACCCCAACACGGCAGCGCGAGGACCCCGAGTGTGCCGCCTCATCGTGGCTAACCACGTCCAGGCGCGAAGAGATGACAGGCGCTAGGGGAGGACTAGCGTAGGCTGAACCAGAAGATGAGGGAAGCGCACCTCTTCCAAGCGGGTAGTCACATCAGGGCCATGAGTGGATCTCTGACTCATCCTAGGTAGAGGGATGGCCTAAAAGCCTTAGTATGCTAGTGGTCACATCATTGTATCCCAGTAGTCACATCACTGTATCTCTCCCTATGTCAACCACTCACCCACCACCATGAAGCCTATAAATATGGCATTTACTACGGTGGGTGAGGGGATCGCATTTTTCACCATTCTCTCTCTACAAGAACTACTTCTCTTTCTAATCTCTCTCTTACTCACTCTCTCTGATTCTGATTCCTCCGATCAAACCCGGCTCTCACGTTTCTTCTCGACCCAAACTCTCATTCGAACCTCACTCCTACACTCAGTTAGGTTCAAACAATACTCAAAACACTTGGTGGGGATATTCCCTTGTAGACATCCCATCCCACCCCACATGTTGTGTTTTGTTTTAGTGGCGAATCCTTTATATATCATCCCTTGGCTTTGCTTATTCTTGCTTTCATTTTCTCTCATTTTCACTATTTTGTTGGCTTTTTAAAAATTTTCTTGATGGATATTAGGGGTTGTGTAGAATATAAATCTTATCATGTGTTGATGTAGCCTAATATAGAGACTCCTTGATTTAGTATATTCACAAATTTGCTAAACCATGTATGTTCGAACATGAATTTTATGTTATCCTTTTATGGAAAACCAATATATAGTAATTGTCAGTGATTTATAAGTATACTGGTCAACGAAATCATGTTCATATGTAAAATACCAATTCGTTTACGAATATGGAGTAAGCTCATCAGAATGCTACCTAACATGGATAGTATTATACGTACATTGACTTCGGCAAGTGAATAATGAATTAAATTGTGTCGTTGTAGTCATGATGGAATACACCGGCTTATACAAAGTATTGCGATCAAATTATATGACTTGCGACTCACAGATTATGTATTTTCGATGGATCTCCCAACTTCTTCAATATGCTTGTACCATAAATTAGCCCCAATGCCCCCAATCTACAACATAAAATATGTGCATCGTCAACAAACACAAAAGAAGCACACTTTTCCTTTATTATTACTAGCTGTTGACTTTGAAGCAAATCATACATATCATGCAAATCATACATATCATGCAACAATGGGACCATATTTTGATGTTTTCATGGTGGGTTTCATGAACAGATCAAATGGCACTTCAATTTTGCTTTTCACCGGCTATACTTATTTAATTTAGTCTCATAATTTAATTCATCCTTTCGAAAGATTGAAGAAACATCGATGTGTAACAAAAAGATATAAAATGTGTAGACTGTATTTTTTTATAGTTAGAATTATCAAGACAAGTTGATTGTCGACATATTTTTATCTCAACAGTATATCTAAACTATCACAGAGTTTTAACATGTACAATCCAGAGCATATGTGTGAGGGTTATAAAAAAAATAGCATATGTCTATAATTATCATTTTCTTCCCCTCATTAACAACATAGTAAAATATTAATTGTTACTTCCTATAAAAGACTGAATTTGTGCATAAAATAATGAGTATGTTGGTGGTATGGGTCTGATGAGCGTGCGCTTGAATTTGATTATAATATCAGCATACATACAATGATGATTATCATATTCATAGGCATAATAATCATAATGATTGGGTATATAAGATGCCTATAATAATAATAATAGTAAATAAAAATCAAGTATGCATTTATTTATTTTGTATCTGATAATCTTAATCGTGATTGATTCAATTAAACGATGATTCTTTTAATTTTTTCTTGACTTACAAAATAAATTAAACTTCACTTGTTTAAAAAAATTATGGTTATACATCTTTTTTTTTTTGTTTTTGAGAATGAGATGATTGATGTTAGTTTATGCAATAAACTACACTTAATAGTTATTGATTCTCTTGAATTTTACAGTTCTGATATTTAATTAGCTTATTGTAATCTGTTATGATCCATAAATATCTTATCACCAAACCGCCAAACACATCCCCGTCCGCTATCGCCCACCCATAATGTACAAATGAGTGACTATGAGTACCTTTCCCATCACCCACCAAAACTCATTGTGCGAGTGAAATTTATCCCGAAAATCGTCCAACTCCCCCATTTTCCATCCCTAGCCGGGTGTTAATAAGTAAATTTCCATCCTCATTAACATTAATCATTATGTACACCAAGAAAGACAAAGGAGGAAGCCTTGCATTATATACACCAAGTCACTAACTAATAATAAATTGGCACCGTCGTGGGTCTATTATATATGTAGGTAGGTGCAGCGTCACATAGTATAATATATGCTTTTGCTAGGTTGCCACCAATTGGTCCACAAAGGCTAAAGATTGGAACATTTGATTAGATATTACTTAGGAACTAATCCTTCCTTCCTTCCTTTTCATAAGCTGTTTAGGTTCTCCCAATATGCCGCCATGTGTAGATGGATAGATGAACAGTTGCGAACTTGCATGGGAACGGCGACGAAGGTAAGGCGACAATTAATCACGTAATTAATAGATAACTAACAATCCTAATCACATCACCATTAATTGTCCACAAGAACAAGAGACCCAGACCAGCTAAAAGTGGAGGGCATCTCCATGTGCTGCAGCAGCAGCCTCTGCTGTCAACTTTAGGAGGACTCTGCCATATACCTACACATGTGGCATACACTCCTTACTTACTGTATATCTGCATATAATCATGTAATATCGTTATCAGGCTGATCCTGATCTGTAATTCCGAGCTCCATCAATGGTGTAAAAGGGAACACATAAAAGGCATAATGAGCAAAAAGGTGAGAAAGGGGATGATATGGGGAAGCTAGAAAAAGGAGAAAGATGGGGAGGTGTGAGAGACACGATGTGAGAGGGGCCGCTCGGCCTAGAGGGGGTATTTGGGGGTATTTGGGTAATTTGTCATTATTAGAGAGGGGGAACTATTTAAGCTACAGTCTTTGTTATTTTGATCAATCAAGCAGAATATCAAAATCCCTAAACCTAATTCCTCACCTCTTCTTCAATTCTCATCTCAAATTCCCAATTCTCAACCCTAATTCTTCTATTCTCAACCCTAATTTCTGATTCGATTATCCGTGTTTCTCACAATTGGTATCAGAGCCTGTCGATATGAGTTCTCAAGGACTCTCCGATAGGGACCACGAGCTCGCGCTCGATGCGCGTTTACGGGACGTTCTCGACCGGTTGGAGCGCGTGGCCGCCGACTGGCGGCGAAGGGGCGACGCGGTGGAAGGGCCGAGCTCCGCTGGCCCAGCGGTGCCGACAGCAGCGGCGCGGCGGGGGTTGCTCGAGCAGGAGATGGCCGCGTCTGTTGCGGCGAGTGCGACGCGCGACGCGACGTCGGGGAGAGCGCTCGGCGCGCTGGGTGGGCCTGGCTCGTCGCGGCTGAACGAGGAGGAGGAGAGGTCCTCGGCGGCGGCAGCAGCTCTGCAGGCGAAGGAGGGCGGCGCCGAGCTGGAGGTCATCTCCGCGGTGGCCGCCGGCGTGACCGCGGGTTCGCCTACTCTGCGTTTCAGGGCGCAGGTGGCAGGGGAGTGGGGAGTGGCCTTGGTCGACAGCGGGGCTTCTCTCAACTTTGTTGGGGCAGAGTTTGTACGCCGATTACCCACATCACAGGTGACAGTCGTCCCATTCGAGGTGAAGGTGGCCAATGGGGCGCCGCTGCAGTGCACCGGGAAGCTGGCAGGAGTGACAGTGATGATTCAAGGGCTGCAGGTCCCTCTTGACTTGTACGTCCTACCCTTGCAGGGCTTCGACATCATTTTGGGCATGCCTTGGCTGAAGAGTTTGGGACCGGTGACGAGCGACTGGGTGAAGATGGTTATGAGGTTCAAATGGAGGGACAAGGACTGGGAACTCCAGGGGTTGACCACGGCAACTGGGCCGGTGGAGTGGGGTGACCCGCAACTGGAGGAGGAGGCCGAGCTAGCTGTGCTCTGTTGGCCACTGGGGTCAGCCGATCCGCAGCCGTTAGCCCCAGACTTACAGGCATTGCTGGACCGGTACGAGGAGCTCTTTGGGCAGCCGAACCAGCTTCCTCCACAGCGCCAGGTGGACCATCGGATTCGGCTGAAGGAGGGCACGGACGCAGTTAACGTTCGCCCCTACCGGTATGCACATAACCAGAAGGCCGAGATCGAGAGGCAGGTGGAGGAGATGATGACAGCCGGGCTGATTCGGGCAAGTTCCAGCCCGTTTTCTTCGCCGGTGTTGCTGGTGAAGAAGAAGGATGGCACCTGGCGGTTTTGTACAGACTACCGAGCACTCAACACCGCTACTGTCCGAGACCGTTTTCCCATTCCCACGGTGGATGACATGCTCGACGAGCTACGGGGTGCCCAGTACTTTACCAAGCTCGATCTGCGGGCAGGGTACCACCAGATACGTATGCACGAGGAGGACATTCCTAAGACGGCTTTTCGGACGCATAGTGGCCATTACGAGTACCTGGTCATGCCGTTCGGACTCTGTAATGCACCATCGACATTCCAGGCCGCCATGAACGACATTTTTCGGCCTTTGCTCCGCAGGTCAGTCTTGGTATTCTTTGATGATATTCTGGTTTTCAGTAAGACTTGGGGAGAGCATATGCAGCATTTGCAGGAGGTGTTTGAGATATTACGGAGCAACCAGTTTTATGTGAAGGCTTCGAAGTGTGCCTTTGGGGTCCAGTCAGTGGACTATTTGGGCCATGTTATTTCAGGTGACGGAGTTAGAGTGGATCCGTTGAAGATTCAGTCCATGATGGACTGGCCGGTGCCGAAGTCGGCAACAGAGCTGCGGGGTTTCCTCGGTCTTACTGGCTACTACAGGCGGTTCGTGAAGGGGTACAGTTCTATAGCCGGTCCGTTGAATGCCTTGCTGAAGAAGGGGGGATTTAGCTGGAATCCCCAAGCAGAGCGAGCTTTTGTGGAGCTCAAGGCCGCCCTCTCATCGACACCAGTTCTGGCCTTACCGGACTTCTCTCAGCCTTTTGACATCGAGACTGACGCCTCTGGCCGGGGAATTGGGGCGGTTCTCTCACAGGAGAGGCATCCCATCGCCTTCATGAGCCGTACCCTCCCTCCATCTAAGGAGGCTTGGTCCACCTACCAGAAGGAGATGCACGCCATTACTGAGGCGGTCCAGATGTGGAGACCCTACTTGATCGGTCAGAAGATCCGGATCTACACCGATCATCAGAGTCTCAAGCACTTGATGGACCAGAGGGTGTCCACCCCAGATCAGCATAAGTGGGTGGTGAAGTTGATGGGATACGACTATGAGTTGCACTATCGACCAGGGCCGATGAACAAGGCCGCGGATGCCCTCTCGCGGGTGGAGTGGAGGCCGCAGGTGGCAGCAGTGACAGGGCCGGTGGTGTTGTTCTGGGAGGAGGTTAGAAGGGCGGTGGAGGCGAGTCCGTTCCTGCAGGAGCGCCGGGATATCGCTCTCAGTCAGACACCTGGTAACTATACCTTCAGGCACGGATTGGTGTTTCACCGGGGTCGCGTGGTTCTACCTCCGGCCACCTCCCTCACGACGACTGTGATGAGGGAATTTCACGATTCGCCGGTGGGCGGCCATTCGGGGTACGAGAGGACCTTGAGGAAGATTCGCGGTCATTTCTACTGGCCACAGATGACCCGAGAGGTCAAGGATTACGTTGCATCCTGCGACACCTGTCAGCGGGTCAAGGCTTCCCAGCTGAGGCCAGCCGGACTACTTCAGCCACTGCCAGTGCCAGAGCGGGTATGGGAAGATATTAGCATGGACTTCATCGTGGGTCTTCCGCCATCAGGTGGAAAGACAGTTCTTTTGGTGGTGGTGGATCGCCTCACCAAATATGCACATTTCATGGCCCTAGCCCATCCGTATACTGCCCGGAGTGTAGCAGAGCAGTTTGTCTGGGGGGTCATTCGGCACCACGGGTTTCCCCGCTGGGCAGGTTCTGGAAGGAGGTGTTCGCCTTGGCGAAAACGGAGCTGAAGATGAGCTCGGCATATCATCCCCAGACAGATGGGCAGACTGAGGTGGTGAACAAGATACTGGAGCAGTACCTGCGGTGTTTTGCTCACCAGCAGCCGCGCCGTTGGCTCGCTATGCTGCCATGGGCTGAGCTGTGGTATAATACCACATACCACCGATCTATCCAGATGTCTCCCTTCGAGGCTCTCTACGGGAGGACGCCACCGATGCTGGTCCGGTACCAGTCAGGGGCGAGTGCAGTGGATGTGGTGGACAGGTGGTTGGCGGACCGGGATGAGGCACTGCAACAGTTGAAGGCCAATTTGGCCGCTTCCAACAACAGGTCGAAGCAGCAGGCGGACTCAGGGAGGCGAGACGAGGAGTTTTCAGTGGGCGATTGGGTCCTACTCAGGCTGCACCCTTACCGGCAGACGTCAGTGTTCAAGAGAGCTTACCAGAAGCTCGCGGCCCGATATTTTGGGCCGTACCAGGTGCTGGAGCGGATCGGAGCCGTGGCGTACAGGTTGCAGCTCCCGGATGCATCTCGGATTCACCCGACTTTTCATGTCTCACTTCTGCGCAGGTACCGAGGAGTAGCACCGTCTGACCCACCACCCGAACCGCCGGTGAACGAGAATGGCGCGTTGGAGCTGGAGCCCGAGGCTGTGTTGGATGTCCGCTGGCCCCTCCGTGGCAAGAGGCGGGTCTCCGAGAGCTTGATTCAGTGGAGGCACTTGGCGCCGGAAGAGGCTACTTGGGAGGACACAGAGACTATTCGTCAGACCTATCCGGCCTTCGATCTTGAGGACAAGCTCGGTCTGGAAGAAGGGGGGAGTGTGAGAGACACGATGTGAGAGGGGCCGCTCGGCCTAGAGGGGGTATTTGGGGGTATTTGGGTAATTTGTCATTATTAGAGAGGGGGAACTATTTAAGCTACAGTCTTTGTTATTTTGATCAATCAAGCAGAATATCAAAATCCCTAAACCTAATTCCTCACCTCTTCTTCAATTCTCATCTCAAATTCCCAATTCTCAACCCTAATTCTTCTATTCTCAACCCTAATTTCTGATTCGATTATCCGTGTTTCTCACAGGAGGAGATTGTTGAAGTTGTGTGACTGTGATCTTATGCTTCTTTCTTAGTGTGCTACAGCAAATACATAAACATAACCACCAGACCAGGAGACCACCACCACCACCATCCTCCTGTCCATTCACTCATCAATTATTAAAGAGGGCTCCCCTTCCTTTTTTGGTACTTCCTTTTGGATCTTCAAGGAGCAGTTAGGTTTCTTTTAGAGAGATTTAAAGAAAAGTCTGACTTGAGACTTTATTAGACAAAGCATCAATGGCTCTTCAACCTGCTTGCAGCCTTGCACCACAGCAATAGGTTTTCTGTGTATAGTGGACATCAATTGGTGACTTTCCAGAAGAAAAAAAAGCAACAGAGGCAAAAAGAAGCATGATAACATTAATCAAGCAGCATGACTCTCGTGCAGACAGAAGGAAACCATCCATTCGAAGCAGGGTTTCGGGACAGAATTCACCAACACACTAGAGTTTGTTCTAGCAAAGGCTATAAACTACAAAACTGGGGAACCAAGCAAACAACCTCTTCAAAATTGGGATGGAAAATGTTAGAGGTGAGTTGCTTCAGCTTCTCTAGTTTCTACCTTCCTAGTTAGTTAGCTCCTAGCACAAGGGCCCTCAGTTTATGGCTCCATAAGCCCTTCATCTCTCTTTTCCTATCGTTGCCTTCTCTCTTTCAACATGTAACTTGTGCCGAGCCTCACTCTAAACCACCACAGTGATTCGTTCAGCACGACGCAACAAAGATTGGCTCCTTTGTCTCCAAATGGTCTTCCATTATTGGGTACGGAATCTCTCATTTGGAAGGGCTAGGTCAGGATGCCTGCACTCCACCGCGGACTTTCTGGTGCCCGACTGTTCCACCTTCTATGCAACCGGGATATTAGGTTCCCCCAAATTCACAAAGGCCTCTGCCCTAGCCAACCTTCCCATTGCTGTATTCCAGGATACGAGGTGGTCCATGAAGGCGTTCACGTACTTTGCTCTCTCGTTCTGTTGAACATCACTTTTTAGCTATAACAAGAAACCATAGCAAACCCGTGCAAGAAGATTGCCATAAAGTGGAAAGGAATAAAACATGAGTCATACCTTGTAATCCAAATAGTAAGCATGCTGCGAAAAACAAAGATGGTAGATGTTTACTACTCATGATCCAAGTAGCATATAAGGAAAAAAGATGTTGGAAATGCGAAGTTGCTGAACTGGACATAGACAGACAATAATTTCTTACCTCCCACACATCTAGATTGATTATAGGCTGGAAAAAAACACATGGACGGAGAGAGATATTGATCAGTGCACTCATTAAGATGAATCTTAGTTGATCAATCGACGTGAGAGGCAATATTTGCTTACAATGTCATCCCAAATAAGTGGAGTGAAAGCATTTGATGTCTTCACTATAGCAAGATGTTTTTCTTCTCTCTTCACTACAAATTAAGCATTTATCGCCAACTTCAGATAAGACTAACAGACTAACATCATCCACGATTTAAAAGTTTTTAAAGCACTCACAGACAAGCCAAACCCAGCCAGAACCAAAAGATGTCAAGGCTGCTTCCACAAACTTCTCTCTGAAATTTGTGAAGGACCCGAAATCCTTTTCGATCTGATCGAGCAAACCAAGTTCAGGTATCCCGCCGCCTCCTGGTTGCATGGATTCCCAAAAGAAGTCGTGATTCCAGACCTGGAATCAAAAGTCGGAAGAGACTTCAATGACGTTTTATCGCAGGTCTAGCAAACTACCAACAAGTCTCGGCATTGTAATCAAAACTTTTGAAGCCCAACTTTCAAATGTGTTCCCAACCTGAGCAGCATTGTTGAAAATAGGTAGAGGGTTGCCTCGGTTATAGGTAACTGTGATGAGTTCATCCATGGTGTAGCTGTACAGAACATCGTCTTTCGCCAAAGCTTTGTTCAAGTTCTCCAGATAACCACGATGATGACCTCCCCAGTGCAACTCCACCGTCTTCTTACTCATGTGTGGCTCTAACGCATCCTAACAACCCCGCCAATTCAAACACCCAACACCTCAATCAACTCTCATTTCAGCTCATTCCTAAAGAGAAAACAAGCACCTTCCATTTTTTTCTCTCTATCCCACCAAACGTTTCTCAACCTTTTAGACGCAAAGTGATTAGCTTTTATGCAAACTCTGAAGGTGTATGTCAGCAATAGTTTTCACCTTTCAATCAATACATACAGAATTAAAGAGAAGAAATAGACAGAAAGCAACAAGGAGGAGGAGGAGGAGGATATTACAAGTTGATAAGGAGGAGGCTTCAAGCCAAAATAAGCCACCGCTTTGGAAGCTCTCCGGCGCCTATCAAATGGCGACGACTGCTTCTTAGCCTGGAAATCGAAGGCAATCCATCCAGAAAACAAGAATTTCCCTAGCAGAATTAGAAACTAGAACCACTGACGAAAGAACTTTGCACATTTGGTGCAACCTGAAGCAGAATCACAAAAAAGGAAAGCAAGAGAGATGGAGCTAACCGGTGAAGGAAGCATAAAGGGAGGAGCTTTGAGATTGTAGAGGGCATGGCAGGAATCGTTTGCCAAAAAAACCTGAAGGTGGCAACTGGGTGCGAAAACATTGCAGCTACTCATCTCCTTCCTCCTTTCAGCCTCTCTCGCGCTCTCTGTGTGTCAGTGTGTGTACCTATCTATCCAGTGCCGCTGTTTGCTTTTCCGGCAATCGGGAGCAGTGGGAGAAGAACGGGAGGATTGAAAGGACGTAAGCATTGTGGGCTTGTTTCTGGGCTATAGTGAGCCCAAATTAACTGAGAACCTTTAGTATGCTTTGGGCCTGTAGTCCACTAAAAAAGTTTTCCTTCATGGACGAGAGGCCCAATCCTCAGTTCTTCCCAAAACAAAGCTAAATGCTTATGTACAAGATTTAAGAGCTTTACAACCAAGGTAGCATAAATGCATAATTGCTGATGGTCTCATTGCTCAACCAATAATGTAAAAGTTTCAATTTCTACTCATAGAAAGCCAGCTAACGAAAGAAAGTTCACAACTTTGTGCCTGAGATACATAACACACATATTTTACATCGGAAATAGAAAAAGAAGACACTTCGAATAAGTCGATCACCGTCTAACAAATTGCACACCTCTTTTGTCTTGGTCCACCATCATTGCGATGTGCATCGGGGGAGATCGCCAAAGTCGTTCACCTGGATCACATCCATGTCCTTCCTTCGCAAGAGCATCGGCTACTTGGTTAGCTTCCCTGAGAGAGTGATGCAATGAAATATCCCAATCTCGATTGATTAACGAGTAACAATCATCAAGAATGGTAACCAATGGATGAAAATGAAACTCCGCAGCTTTGAGAAGATGAACCACAGTTTGAGAATCTGAGTTGACCTCAACCTTTCGGAAACCAAGGGACCAGGTTAAGTTGAGACCATCTCTCAAGGCTTGAAGTTCAGCTTCCAGAACGGATGCCTGGCCAACATAATTGGAGAATCCAACAATCCACTCACCGGACGAATCCCTGAGAACACCACCAATCGCAGACGATGGTGGATCGAAACGTTTACTTCCATCTACATTCAACTTCACCCATCCTGCACGAGGTTTGGTCCATGAGACCTGGCGTTGGATCGAACCTTTTGCTGAATCCTCATCCAACAAGCTGATGAACATTGAAGAAGCAGAAGAACCATGGTACAGATTGCTGCAATTTTTAAGTCTTTCAAAGTAGGAGGTCATAAGTCCATACTTTCTAGCAATGTCGGATCGAACATAACCTGGACTCCCGCCTTTTGAACCCGAAACTATCACAGCCGTCTGCTCGCCCACCAAGTTAGCCACTGCTACCATCACTTCCGGTTCGGTTGCGTCTGAAGCATCCACCAAGAAGATATGGCTAAAATGTCCTTTGGCAATACCCTGGCCATGCAGACGGAAGCTCGTCATATAAGTAGACACTATGACTCTAAACCTCTGGAGCTCTTGGAGCGGAGGGTATGTGAAGCATTCCCCTTTGTATGCGGACCAGCTGAGGATCTCACTGGGGACCCCATCAATCTCCCTGAAAGCTGCATTAGCTCGAAACATGTTTCCGTCCATGATGTCCTCCTTCAGATGTTCCACCAGCACATCGCAGGTTCTGTTAGCATGTGCACAAACAAGAATCCGATGATCCACACTGATTCGATACAGTTGGGC